TGGGGTGGGAAGGGCTGCACTGCTGCCAGTGTTATCACTAAGTAGGGCCACTACTGCCAGAGCCACCCAAGCCTCTGTATTTGCTGCCAGAGCCACCAAAGAAAGGGCTGTGGAGCTGGTAGCCACCTGGTATAGCCAGAACCTCTTCCAGGAGTACAGAGGGGAATAAAAACAGCTTCTTCCCTGCTCCCACCTTTCAATCTTCCACTAGCACCTTCCATCATCTGATGTTAACTGGAGCTGGTGGGCAAGGGGGTCTGGGAGGTGCAGTGAGCCAAGATCCAGCATCACACAATATGGCGCTCATGGGACAGAAAGCAAATGGCAAATGGACAAATGGCCTGCACAGTGGTTCAGCACTTGGACTTCGATGCAAATCAAAACGGAAACTTGGCTCTGTGGCCTTGAACATGTCATTTAAGACCAGCCTGAGCAAGAGCGAAACTCAGTCTCTACTAAAAATAGAAAAAATTAGCCAGGTGTGGTGGCGCATTCCTGTAGTCCCAGCTACTCTGGAGGCTGAGGCAGATGGATCACATGACCCCAGGAGTTTGAGGTTGCTGTGAGCTAGGCTGAAGCTATGGCACTCACTCTAGACCTTAACAAAGCAAGACTCTATCTCAAAAACAAACAAACAAACAAAAACTCTCTGCTCAAAGCATGGGCAGGTATCCAGAGATAAGATTCCCCTGGAGTCAGCAGTCCTGGTTTGTTTTCCCAGAGGGGAGGATTAGCCATGTCATCCTTGATCAGAAGAGTGATCAGCACCTTGAAAGCCCCAGGGGCCATTGGCTTTTACAGTCACACAGGACCGTTTACATTTAAGCTCTTAAAAATAAGAGTGAAATTCTGAAAGCTGCAGGCTGTGACTTCACTAATGTGGTAAAAACAACTGTTTTGCTGGCTGACGTAAATGACTTCAATACTGTCAATGACATCTACAAACAGTATTTCAAGAGTAATTTTCCTGCAAGAGCTGCTTACCAGATTGCTGCTTTGCCCAAAGGAGGCAGAATTGAAATTGAAGTAGTAGCTGTCCAAGGACCTTTTTCACAATGCCATTACTATAAGTGGGTCCAGTGTTTAGTCCGGAATTTTATCATCTTAATTTTTATAGTTGATATAACATCTTAATTAACCTCTTAATTTTTAAAATTGATGAAAGCATAAGCTTGACTAAAATATCTGAAGTTATCATGGAAATAGCATATAAGAGGGATAGTTGAACATGAATTGAAGATTAGATAATGCATCCAGTTGCTGGTGTGTAAATTATACTTACATATACCCAAACGACTGAATGTAGGAAAGAGATACTCATTCCATAGTTGCTCAAATAAATAAAAGTAAAGGGAAATAACAGGAAAGATGAGTTATTGTTTCTGAGAAATAATCAAAAGCACACCTAATCAAACTAATGATGTGAAAGTTCTAGTTCTCATGTCAGATCCGTGATTCTTTTAGGTTAGTAAAATTAAAGTATTTAAATATGAATGGTAGAGGTATAGGAGGAGGAAGTGGACCAAAATTTTATATAAATAATATTTTTCTAGTGGAAATAAAATAGACATGCATATTTCCAAAAAAAAAAAAAATTGCCCTGAAGGAAGCTTTTATGTTTTATAGCTATAGGGCAGATTCAAATTAAAATCAGATCTAAAATGGCATCTTGTGGGTTGGAGCATCACAATATAAGTTAGACTCACAACCTCAGTGTCTCTTACTTGAAAGCATAGGCACTGATTGGGAAGGAGAGGGCTTCTAAGAACGAGGTGTATTTCTTGTGTGTGTAGCTCCAGCTTACTTTCTGAATAACCTGTAAAGCTTAGTGAGGCTCAGAGACAGGGAAGGCCCTGCAGCAACTCCAGGCTGGTGCCTAGACACCTGGGCTTTCAGACCCAGCCCATTCCTAGCGGAACTCAACCCAGCTCTCCGTGCAAGTGGGGCATTGAACATGGCAGGCCCCAGTAGGAAACCTGCAGTACAAATGCCTAGGTTTTTGGTGCAAAGCTATGTCCTCTCCTATACATGACTATTCTCCATTTGGGAAATAGCTCTTGGCTTTTACTGGGCCCTGGTAGAGATGGAATGCCCAGCTCTGGGGCACCAAGTGACTGTGCAACCCAGGCAGCCCATCTGGACCTGGGTGTTATCGGGTCCACTGGGTTATAAAGTTGGTATTTGCGGCATTAGTCTATCATCAGTGTGGGCTCGAGCACACCTGGAGGCAGGCAAAGGGCATGGGCAAGTGACAAAAGTCTCATAGCATGCTCTCCAGCGGCATCACTAACTTTCCCTCAACCCACACCACAGTCCTTGAGTGGCATTCTCCATCACCAGCCATATTAGTTTTCTGTGGCTCCTGAAACCAATGACCACAAACTTGGTGGCTTAAAACAAGATAAATGCATTCTCTCACAGTTCTGAAGGCCGGAAGTCTGGAATCAAGGAATCAGCAGGGCCAGGCTCTCTCCGCAGGCTCTAGGGGAAAACCTTCCATGTGTCTTCCAGCTGCAGACAGCTCCAGGTGCTCCTTGGCTTATGGTGGCATCATGCCAATCTCTGCCTCCGTCTCCACATGAACTCCTCCACCCTGTGTCTCTATTTTCATCTTTTTAATCTTAGCAATTCTGATAAGTCCCTAGTAACTCTATAGGTGAAGAATCAAATACACAGCCACCTCTTCTCTTCACCCTTTATAATCCTCAAGGCCACTATGACCCTGTGTTCTTCCCAAACCTGACTTTTATCACAGATTGTGCCATTTACCTTTACTGTGGTCTGGGTCTAGCAAAGTTGGTCTTTCAGAAGCTATTTCCTCTGGCCTACCTATTCTACAAAGAAAGTTCTTTATGTCGCTGGTAGATGTTATCATGTTCTGTGAGAAAGATGAACAGAAATAGAGATAAGTCCATTCTCTGGACAGGCTGACCTCAGAGCTGCAGGGAAGCGGTAAAAGGGCATGAAAATCTTGACATTAAGAAAAGCTTGAAAACACTGGAGCCCAGTAACGTGGAGTTAACATAACATACTCTCCTAGGCCAGGTTTTGGCTGAGTGTAACCCTCAGCAGCCTTCAGTCTTCAGTAGAAGCTGGTTACCATAAAAGCAAATGACTGCTCTGTGGTGCCTTGTTTTCATTGTAGTTGGCCAAACAAGAGGTCACATGCCCACATGTATTTGTTTTATCAATAAATATTTATTGAATGCCTCTTATGTGCTGAACTCTGGCTGAAGGAAGAAGATGCTGCACTGTTTTGGTAGTTTATGTAGAGGTAGAATGGCAACAACATGTAGAGGGTGCAGTATGCCAGTGAATCAAATTATCGGTCAGTGAATTATGAGGAAGAGCATAAGCATGGCATTAGGTAGGATGGAATGAACTCAGAGTCTCCCAAATTTACCAGAGGGAACAATGATTTTATAATTATTTTTTAAATGTGCTAGAATTGTCAAAAGAGCATCGAGTTGGATGTGTAGTTGTAAAATGTATGCCATGGTTCTGTTTGCTTTGCGATAGTATAAAAATTCAGATCTCACAGGAATGGGTATTAATACTACATTTAGGTCATCTTTGTCTACCTTCCCTAATTTTCTAGTTAAGCTTCATATGATGAGTGAATGGAAGCATTTTGGATTGTCTGCTTGCCATCTCAATTTGGATTGGAATAGTTAGTGATCGGCTAATGATCCTACACAGAAAAATCCATGTTTCTACAAAATGGAAGATCTTTTCTAATTTAGGTTACACTGAAAACTGCAGTAGTCTTCCCATCAAAAACAGTAAATATAAAACTCACTCCAGGGTAGCCAGAACACAGAAGTAGCTATCAGAAACAGAGAGAAAGCTGAGGGGCTATGTTGATAGAAAGGCCATTGCGAACTTCTAGGTATCTAGAGGCAAACATTTTGCAGTCATGAAAGGGCAAAACCCTCCCCAGCAATACAGTTGCTATGAACTCTGTTATTTAAAACTCTTAGAACTATGGACAGTTTTAAGTGCACAAATGGAGAATTCTCTGCAATTTTTAGGAGGATCCCTTAAGACTTCAAGTAAGTGACTGAAAAGACAATAATAGTAGGAGATATAAAGAACTTGGATGGCTATCCATACCTGGGAAAGAAGTAAAGGAAGTGTAGTATAAGAAGAAGTATAGGAGGTAGTTGTATTCCTTCAGGTTTATAGTGCCTCAACAGTGAATTATACACAGCTTATTCTTAGAAAAGGATATTAAATTCTAGCGTACTATTTGGCCCTGCAGACAACAATACTGACATAGTCACAGTGGTAAAAGTGCCATTTATTGGTTGTATTGATTTTCTATTGCTGCTTAACAAATTACCACAAACTTAGTCACTTAAAACAATATCCATTTACAAGCCCACAGTCTGTAAGTCAGAAGTCCAGGTACAGTGTGATGGGGTTCTCTGCTTAGGGTCTTACAAGGCTGAAATCAAGACATTGGCAGGGCTGCTTTCCCTTTTGGAGGTTCTGTGGAAGAATCTGCTCCAAGCTCACTCTTCACTTGATCTTAGCCAAAAAGCCAAGAAGTGATCCAAGCTCATTCTTGAAGCTGGCTGTGGTAGTTTGTGGTTATAGGACTGGGGTACCTGTTTCCTTGTTGTCTGTCAGCTGGGGGCCACTCTGAGCTCCTTGAGACCACCACATTCCTTGCAACACAGCTCCCTCTATCTTCAAAGCCAACAATGGTATGTTGGATCTTTCTTGTGCCTTGGCTCTCTCTGATTCCCCTGTCTTGGATACCTAGACCCCGATTTAAAGGACTCCTGTGATCAAGTCACTGCTACCCAGATAATCCCTCTATCTTAAGGTCAACTGATTTGTAACCTTACCTACATAGGCAAAATACCTTCACTGCAACACCTAGATTAGTGTTTGGGAGGTTATGTGTATACCAGGGAAGGAAATTATGGAAGTCATCGTAGAATTTTTCCAACTATACATTGTTTTTTAATTTTAAAATCTGTCTTTTCTTCTAGACCAGTAGTTCTCAACTGGGGTGTGGTGAGATTTTGATGCCCCTCCCCGGGGGCATTTGGTAACAACTGGAGACATTTTTGGACATCATCTAGTAGGTAGAGGTAAGAGATACTGCTGATCCACCTACAATATATAGGAGAACACCCCCCCTCCCAACAAACAATTATGCAACCCAAGAAGTTAGTAGCGCCAGGATTGAGAAACCCTGCTACTTAAAAAAAAGCATGAAAGATGATTATTATTACAGTACAGAGTTATAATTATCAACATCAGGCATGTAAATGTAGAAGTACAGCTGATGTAGCCTTGGCAACATAGCAAGACCTTGTCTCTACAAAAAATAGAAAACTTAGCCAGGTATGGTAGTGTGCACCTGTACTCTCAGCTACTTGGGAGGCTGAGGCAGGAGGATCACTTGAGTCCAGGAGTTTGAGGCTGCAAGTGAGCTATGATGGTGCTACTTGCACTCCAACCCTGTGTGAACTACCAGACCCTGTTTCAAAAAAAAAAAAGTATAGTTGATGGGAAACAAGATAGAAGATGGACGGATAGGAGAAAAAGGAAAAGAATATGGGGTATTATTTACATCTTACATAAAGATTAATAAATGGAAGGTGGTTATATTATTCAAAGTTACAACGACAAAAAAAGTAATAACACTCAAGCCCTAGGATGAGGAGGGAGATGGGAAGGAAGTAGGGAGTAATAAGGAGGCAATAGATATTGCCACAAATCAATAAACAAAAGAAATGATACTTTAAGCATTTAATTTGAAATTATGAGGTAGTCGCTAGAACTTAAACTTTTAGAAGGGTTATGATAGGTCACCTTAAAGAAGTGTAGGTCTGGGAATAGAGAGGTTAGGGTACGAGGATGCTATTTTTATTATAAATCCCTCAGTACTTTTGATTTTCTTTTATCACAAACCTGTATTACTTCAATAAAAATGTAGTTTTTTAAAAAGAAAACTTCAGGGATTAATGTGGGTAATTTTCTCATAATACAGTAACATAGTACAGTAATAGTATTTACTCATAGTATAATAATAGCACCTAGTATAGTAACAGTGATACAATGTTTTAATAAACACATGTGATAGCCTATAAAATTGAATTTCTTTAAGAATCTGATCTACTAGGTACAATATCCTCAGACAAAGTTTCAGTTATTTGTATTTTGGGTAGAATTGTCGATCTGGACTAGAAGAGACAAAATTAAAAATAATTTATTGGTTGAAAGAATTAGAGACCAATACTTTTATTTATTTATTTATTTATTTATTTATTTTTTGAGACAGAGTCTCGCTTTGTTGCCCAGGCTAGAGTGAGTGCCGTGGCGTCAGCCTAGCTCACAGCAACCTCAAACTCCTGGGCTCGAGCGATCCTTCTGCCTCAGCCTCCCGAGTAGCTGGGACTACAGGCATGTGCCACCATGCCCGGCTAATTTTTTCTATATATATCAGTTGGCCAATTGATTTCTTTCTATTTATAGTAGAGACGGGGTCTCGCTCTTGCTCAGGCTGGTTTTGAACTCCTGACCTTGAGCAATCTGCCCGCCTCGGCCTCCCAAGAGCTAGGATTACAGGCGTGAGCCACCGCGCCCGGCCAAATACTTTTATTTTTTATTAATGTTTGTTATTGTGGTTAATTTTAAACTTGTGATTTATTTTTAAATTACTCTCATTATATTTTGTTAAATACTTTTTTTAAAAAAGGCTTATCTCAGGCCAGGCATTGTGGCTCATGCCTGTAATCCTAGCACTCTGGGAGGCTGAGGCGGGCAGATCGCTTGAGCTCAGGAGTTTGAGACCAGCCTTAGCAAGAGCGAGACGCTGTCTCTACTATAAATAGAAAGAAATTAGCCAAAACAACTAAAAATAGAAAAAATTAGCTGGGCACGGTGGTGCATGCCTGTAGTCCCAGCTACCTGGGAGGCTGAGGCAGGAGGATGGTTTGAGCCCAGGAGTTTGAGGTTGCTGTGAGCTAGGCTGACGCCACACATAGCACTCTAGTCCAGACAACAGAGTGAGACTCTGTCTCAAAAAAAAAAAAATTGACTGGTAGTCAGAAGGTTCTGAGGAGCAAAGCAGGCATTGTTTTCCCCCAGCATCAGAATTTGTCAATACAAACAACAATAGGTACTCAAACTAGATGTTTTAAAATGATATTCAGCTTAAACTTTTTTTTTTTTTTTTTTTACAGAGTCTCACTCTGTTGCCCAGGCTAGAGTGCCATGGCGTCAGCCTAGCTCACAGCAACCTCCAGCTCCTGGACTCAAACCATCCTCCTGCCTCAGCCTCCCACGTAGCTGGGACTACAGGCATGCGCCACCATGCCCGGTTAATTTTTTCTATTTTTAATTGTTTTGGCTAATTTCTTTTCTATTTATAGCAGAGATGGGGTCTTGCTCTTGCTCAGGCTGATCTCGAACTCCTGAGCTCAAGCAATCCTCCTGCCTTGGCTTCCCAGAGTGCTAGGATTACAGGCATGAGCCACCGCGCCCAGCCTAAATTTTCTATTTAGAAAATAAACTCTAATGTTCATGAACTCTAAGTGACACAATAAGAAGTATACAAATTCACATAGGAAATTCTTACCAAAAATGTTAAACCTGAACCTGATCATAAGAAAACAATCAGACAAATCCAGAATGTGAAACAGATTCTGGCCTAGACTAGAAAGGGGGGGAAAAAAAGCAGAGAGATTTTCTTAGATTGAAAGATACTAAAGAAATATAACAACTGATTGCAATATGTCAACCTTGATTGCTTACTGGAGTGAAAAAAAACATAAAATTATCTGAAAGTAGTTGGGGGAATTTGAATATTGACTATATATAAATATGGTAAAATTATTAATTTTTTAGGTATAAGACAATGTGATTACGTAGGAAAATGTCTTTATTCTTGGGGGATGCCAAATTATAAACCAAAAAGAAATTAAGAGTGAAGTGTCATGATGTTTGCAACTTATTTATTTTCAAATGGTTTAGCAAAAAAGTTATATATGTATATACAATATTTTAAAGATATGTACACAAAGAGAAAAGAGGGAGAGCAATGCAGCAAAATATTTTTTTTTTTTTTTTTTTTTTTTTTTTTTTCTTTGCTCAAGAAACTGAAATCTATTTGCAGCAAAATATTAACAATGATTATTTTAGAGGAAAGATATACAGGTGTTCATTGTACCATTCTTTTAATTTCTCTATAAGTTTGGAAAACTTCATAATAAAAAAGTTAGGGAAATTATATCTACATGCTCCTCTTAAAATACTATATGAAGATAAGTATCATCTTTCCATTTCATTTTTCAGTTAAGTATATATTATGGGCTACATCTTCATACTGTGCAATTATTCATTTTTAAAACCAATATTTTGTCTTGCCCTGTTGTCTGCCAATAAGGAAAATTCAGGTGATAAATTTATAACAAACCATGGCCAAGTTCACTGGAGGAATTGTCTTTGTAGATGCATTTATAAACTCTCTAATAAGGAGTTTTATGGCCATATACTCTATGTCTCCCCTGATGTGCCCTGTTATTGTTCCTTTTGTCGTGGGGTTTCTTCTTGTGGCAAAGGTTGCCTTTTCCATTTTTCTTGGTTGTTTGTGCTTTCATCCATTTTTTAATAGCATGATTGTGTGGGCTGACACAGATTCTTCTGCGCTTCACATGAAGGCTGCCAAAGAGGGAAGAAAACAAATCACTGATAGAAAATACAGATAAATAACAACTCAGTGACTTATAGGCAGCTCCCACTTTTGGACACTATATTCTTAGGGACTGAATCTTTTTTTTGTTTGTTTTTTTTGAGACAGAGTCTCTCTTAGTTGCCCAGGCTAGAGTGAGTGTCATGGCGTCATCCTAGCTCACAGCAACCTCAAACTCCTGGGCTCAAGCAATCCTGCTGCCTCAGCCTCCCAAGTAGCTGGGACTACGGGTATGTGCCACCGTGCCCAACTAATGTTTTTCTATATATATTAGTTGGCCAATTAATTTCTTTCTATTTATAGTAGAGATGGGGTCTCGCTCTTGCTCAGGCTGGTTTCAAACTCCTGGCCTGGAGCAATCCTCCCGCCTTGGCCTCCCAGAGTGCTAGGATTACAGGCGTGAGCCACGGCGCCCAGCCTTAAGAGACTGAACCCTAAAGCTAAGCATCGCAAGTTTCGATTTTGACTTTACTTACTCTGCATCCTGTGGGTCCTCAGACATCAGCAGAAAGTATTAAAAGGAGATGGGGGAGGCAGAGGAGAGGGAATTGGATGAAGAGGAAGAAGGGGAGAAACAATAATAAAAACCAAGTGAAAACAACTCTCTTCTCGGACCCCAAATTTCATCCAACAAAACCAATTCATTCTCACTGCCCATCTCAAACACATCATTTCCCACGACATTTTTCTGGATCCTCTCAGCTAAATGCCGTCTTCTCTTCCCTTTGAGTCTCCATGGTGAGGGTCAGTCCATGGTGAGAGGTCACTCTTCAGGCATTTAGTTTACTCTGGCTTTTATTCGAGTACACTTGTCTCATCTCACCTACTGGAGTTATGCTCCTTGAGGGAGGAATAGTCTAGAAATGTGCTGAAAAGGCCTCATTCATAGTAGGAATTAAGCAACTCATTGTAGATACAAAGTGAAAATTGTTCAAAATAAGGACACTCTGGTTTTGTTTTCAACAAAACAATTAACTAAAATACTCCAGGCATTCGTTAACATTTTACTATAATATAGATCTATTCCATAGTTCAGAATTTGCTTTCATTTTTCTATATGAAGTTTTCACACTGGGGTGGGAGAACCTTAGGGTAGTAGCCACAATTTCTGGTAACTGGAAGAATTTCTTGTTACAAAAGATATTGCGACTTTTATTTTATTTTATTTTTGAGACAGAGTCTCGCTTTGTTGCCTAGGCTAGAGTGAGTGCCGTGGCGTCAGCATAGCTCACAGCAACCTCAAACTCCTGGGCTCAAGCATCCTACTGCTCAGCCGCCCGAGTAGCTGGACTACAGGATGCGCCACATGCCCAGCTAGTTTTTTTTTTTAAATATATATTAGTTGGCCAATTAATTTCTTTCTATTTATAGTAGAGACAGGGTCTTGCTCTTGCTCAGGCTGGTTTCGAACTCCTGACCTCGAGCAATCCGCCTGCCTCAGCCTCCCAGAGAGCTAGGATTACAGGTGTGAGCCACCGCGCCCGGCCCTTTTATTTTATTTTTGAGACAAGAGTCTTACTCTGTTGCACCGGCTAGAGTGCCGTGGCATCAGCCTAGCTCACAGCAACCTCAAACTCCTGGGTTCAAGTGATCCTCCTGCCTCAGCCTCCCAAGCAGCTGGGACTACAGGCATGCGCCACCATGCCCAGCTAATTTTTTCTATTTTCGAACTCCTGAGCTCAAACGATCTGCCTGCCTCGGCCTCTCAGAGTGCTAGGATTACAGGCGTGAGCCACCACGCCTGGTCGGGATAGAGTTTTCTAGGCAGGCAGAGCCCATTTTGTCTCTGCTGCATCCCCAGCACATAAACCAGTGCTTGGCACATAATTGTTGATCCCTAAGTATGTGTTGAAGTCATTGAATTGAATAAGGAGGTTTATGAGTGACTTGGGAGTTCAGGCATAAGTGATGTGCTCATTTATAGCCCAAAGAAAGGTGCACCAAATGGCTCGCTAGCATCACCTGGAGCCATAAGTGGTGTTCAAACCAGCTTGCATTGATACCCCCAATGCAATGGAGTTTTCAGAGAGCATTTTATGGTTAGTCCCAGCATCCCTTTTGAATGACCTTGGAGGTGTATAGTGTTCTGAATCAAGAGACCTGGGTTCACATACCATTTCTGCCCTTCATTAGCTATATGACACCAGGTGAACTATGCAATAGCTCTCTCCTGTGTGTGAGGGGGAGATAGTTTATGTCTTCCTCACAGCAATGTTGCCAGAACCCAGATTTGCTAAATACCAAATGCAGTTCAGATGTTGGAACCTCTGCAGAGATGTTAAATACATATAAATATAAAGCTTTCAATAACGGAGCCGAGCTAGGGTGTAGATGGGAGGGTCCACCATGAGCCAACACCCCAGAATCAAAAGCAGAGAAAGGCATTTGTGATTCCATTGCAGATAACACTTGTGACACGTAACACTTCCACACTTGTTTTTGAACTTTGTAAAACACTCCTGATGAATTCAGACATTAGAAATGACATCGACCCATAGACTTGCCTGGAAAAAGTTACTGTTTAAGCCATGAAATATGAGGCACCTTCTGTTTTGGGTTTTATTTTTTTTCACTCTGAATCTCCCTGGTTTTGCTTAGGAAAGTTGTGAATGCTTTCTGGTGGCTGAAGGCATGCAGCCCTAACCACAGCACAGCCGGGGCGGGGGGGGGGGCGGCTGGCGTGGGGTCCAGGAGGACACCCCTGCACAGAGAGATTGTATATTTTCTCCAGGGAGCCTGGAGCCCAAAGGACAGGATAGTTACTCTCCTCTCCCTTGTGTGGATGATTATTTGTATGTTGTGTATCAAGTAAAGCCTTTGGCCAGGGAAATAATATCTGTGTAGGTCTAGACCTCCCTGCTGAAGAGCACTCACATGACAGCAGCCAAGTCACAGTCCCCATCAGCTCTCTGGATGCGACAGGAATTCACTCTTTCCAGCAGCCCTCTGGAAATATGACGTGAAACCTCAGTGCAACAGCTGGAGGCAATGGGAAGTATGGCTAAAAGAAGAAAGAAAGGAAATGTTATTATAAATCTTACAGTTTATATAAGACTGGCATGGTTCTCATTTTAAAGCTTTCGGCGAAACAGAATGTTAATCCATTCCAGCAAGGGGCAGACACTTACTGAGGGCTTTGGGAATGCAGACCTGGAGTAGGACATGAACTTTTGGAACTAAAACTGTGTCTGTGAGAGATAAAATGTAACTTTAGGCAAAGACACAAAACAAGTGAAAGAGATTTTTTTAAAAAAAAGCTGCGGACAGTGATGCTAGTTGGGTTGCAGACTAATCGCAGATGAAAGGAGTGAGGCCAACAGAGTGTTCCTCGCAGTTTGAAAGAAAGAAATCACATGGGCCCCTGAAGCAGGTTTGAAAGTTTCCCCACAGAAAGGACTTGGCTGGATCACGAAGAATTTGGATGCGTGGAGAAAAATGGAGAAGATTTGTCCAGACTCAGGGAAGTGCTTGACACATTTAGTGCATAGAGAAAAATAGGGGACACTTTGGGTGGTAATCGGAGACACGGTTCAAAAGATAGACTGAGATTACACCACTGAAGCCTTGAATGTTATTCTAAGGCGGTTTAGCTTTTATGAAATAGGGACCACTAAAGATTTGAGATAGGAGAAGGGTTTTAGAAAAATTCATTTTGCAGTAATAAGCAAGATGGATTAAAGTGGAGAGTGACTGAGACAGAAGGTCAAGTTAAGGATTGGTTTATGTTAAGGAAATAATGTCAAAACAAATATAAAAGAAAATCCAATCTCCATGTGAAAACACGTACATGCAAATTCCTACATGCCACGAGCACATAGTGTTCTACTATGCTTCCCATTCCACCAAGTGGGTGCTGAATTAAAAAAAAAAAAAGAAATTACAGCTAAGTGTGGCTGCAAGTAGCAGCCTCATAGTAATAGGCAGAAGTTAGCCCTTAAATCAAGGGTTAAAAGATATTGTTAGCCCCTCTACAGTAGAAGTACCTGCCTTTGGGCTAGGAGAAGACCTCTGTATCCATGCCTTGACCACATGGAAACATCAGGCCTACTCACAGCTTTGGAATAGAAAAGGAGCTGAATATGAAATTGAAACTATCTATTGACTCACCAGATCTCTGGGCATCAAAAGTTTTTATTATCATTCATTCATTAATTCACTTATTCATTCAATTATTCAACAAATATTTATTGAGCAGTTAAAATATTTCAGGTACAATGCTAGTCACTGGGGGATACAAAAAATAAAACAATATGTCCCTGTCCTCAAGGGGCTATAGTAGAGGAGACAAATTTGGAACTAAATGCTCAGAATATAACTCCATTGGCCCCCCATAATTGTAATTCTGGAATTCTGACCTTCGAAAAGACTCATGTGAGTCATAAGGACAGGTACACAGTTGTTCACTATAGCAAAACATTAGAGACATCTAAATGTCTACCAAAATAAGACAAAAGCTGTCACAAGAGACAAAGAAGGTCATTACATACTGATAAAAGAGTCAATTCCACAACAAGATATAATAATTACATATATATGCACCCAACATCAGAGTACCTCAATATCTAAAGCAAACATTTAACAGACCTAAAGGGAGAAATAGATGGCGATACAAGTGCTGTCTTCTAGACAGCAGTGTCGTTAGTCTCCTCAAATACTTCACTTTCAGTAATGTGAAAGTTTATCCAGACAGAAAATTAATAAGGACACAACAGACTTGAACAACACTCTAGAGCAAATGAACCTTACAGACATGCAGAACATTTCACCCAACAGCAGCAGAATACACATTCTTTCCGAGTGCACATGGAACATTTTCCAGGATAGATCATATGTTAGGTCACAAAACAAGTCTTTTTTTTTTGTTTTGTTTTGTTTTTTTTAAAACAAGTCTTAATACATTCAAGAAGACTGAAGTAATTCCAAGTATCTTCTATGAACACAATGGAATGAAACTAGAAATTACTAACAAAAGGAAAATGGGAAAACCCACTGTGGAGAAAAATCTAACCCACCGTTCTGCTTCTGTAAATTCCGCTCGCTCAACCCTACTCCCTCCCCTCGCTGGCGCTGCTCGCTCAACCCTACTCCTTCCCCAGCCGGCGCCACTCTGTAACTCCCCAGCCTTTAGTCCTTGGAAACTACTGACCAAGATTAGAAATTCCCGACATGAGCTCATCTGGTACATGTTTGTGCAAGGTCGAAGCCCATGAAACTTTCCCCCCACCCTGTGACCCCTAGCCACCTGCGTGTGGTTTCTGTCTATAAAAATCCTAAGGAAAAAAAGGTCGCGGCGGCAGCTTCCTTAGCTCGCTTGCCCCTGCGCGCGCTGGTAAATGAATCCTCATGCTATTGCATCAAGTCTCTGGACTCTGAGTTTTTTTTGAGCGGTCGTCTCTCCCCCACACGGGCTGTACATTTCTGCGGCCCAACACCACAAGTGCACGAAAATTAAACAACCCACTCTTAAATAACCATTGGGTCAAAAAAGAAATCAAAAGGGAAATTACAACATACCTCAAGACAAATGAAAACAAAAATACAACATACCAAAAGTTATGGCATGCAGCAAAAGCAGTACTAGAAGAGACGTCTATACATATATACATGGAGGAAAAGATATGGAAATATATATGCCCAAATTTATAAGCAGTGATGCATCTAGAGGGGGAAAATTGTCAATTACTATGCAATACTTGTAATTTTTTAAATCTCCAAGATTTCTTGGAAGGATACGGTGCTATGGGAATCCAACTCTGAAACATGGAAAATACAGAAATTAATTCCACTTAAGGAAGAAGGGTAAGCACCAGAGGACAGGAAGTTTGCACTCATATTTAAAGGAGTCAGAACTCACCTAACTGAGAAGGAGACTGGAACATACCAACCAGGAGGAACTACATAGAGCACTGAGGTAGAAGCGAACAGAATGCTTGTATGGATTGTGTAGCTCACAGAATCTGAGGTCAAACCCATGGAACCTGGTATCTATTGGCCCACCATAATTGTACTTCTGGAATTCTGACCTTCAAAAAGACTCACACAAGTCACAAGAATAGGTACACAGCTGTTGACTATAGCAAAACATTACAGACCATCTAAATGTCTACCAAAATATGTTTAACCTGGCAAGATTCTTATCACCAATGGTGCAGGAGGTGCTGGGCTGAGCGCACAGGAAGTTAGGCAATGAAGAATGTAAATGGAATAGTTTGGAAGATAACATCACCCCCTAGAGGTTCTCTCGTGCCACCTCCTGTCAGAATATTTCGAGTTTGAAAGAATGATCAGCCACTCCCCTTGATTTCAACTGTGACTCCAGAATTTTTATAGAGGTGAGATTTCATGGTGTCAATTAGGCTGAAAAAGAGGATTATGTGACATTTCCTCAGAATTTCCATGGTTTTTATTCAGATGACACTTTTACTTGGTTGTAGAGGCTAAAGCCCACCAGCAAAGACCACCCTGGTGCTACCACTGCACGAGGCCAGGAATATCCTGGGAAATAACCTGCTTTGTTCCAGAATTGGAGTTCACACGCAAACACAGAGCTGTCTGAGGGAGTAGGGGTTCTCCCAGAGGGAAATATGTGAAAATTATTGCAAATAAGAGAGAAGTCTTGCAGAGTAGCCTTGAGAAAGCGGCAAAGTCCAGAGGTATGAAGGAGCAAGAATCTGAAGTGTACTGCAAAGCTTTACCTGATCTACCGCCAACTCCTTCCCTAACCCCCCTAGAGGTACCCATTTGCATTGGGAAGGACATGGCCCAACAGATCCACCTAGGAATTGGCTTTGAAAAGTGATGAGATCAGCAGATGCATTCCCCTGCTGGCCTAAGAAGCACGCAGTAACATCAGTCCTCTGGAGGAAATGGGCGACCACCAGTGGGTATGGAGTGGACCCAGAGCAGCTGCCCAGCCAAGGCACCATAAAGCTACAGTTAGGGGCTCCAGTTATGAGAGAGAGACCAGTCTCCCTACCCTATCAGACCACCTTCCCCCGGCCTCTTAGAGAGAACGGATCCTTCTCTAGGACTCGCAATTTGAGAATTATCAAGAACATTTGTATTGGAGAATCCTGGGAAAACTTTGCAATTACTGCCAGGCAAGAAAATGGGGACTAAGATCGTAATTTCTTTTTTTTTTTTTTTTTTTTTTTTTTTTAGATTTCATGTCTAAGCTTAGTAATTTCTATTAGTGAAGCTGAGACCATAGGGGTTCCATGGGTAGCATCTGATGTGTGTTTTCAGTGAATTGAAATCAGGATTTGAATCGGTTTGCTCTGACATTTTTCAGATTGTATCAACCTTTGCTCCATTAAAAAGGAAGACTTGCCTCTGAATAGTAAAATCTAGTAGGAGGAAAAAATTTCTAACATAAGGGAGAATGTGTCATGGGCTATGTGACAAATAGAATTAGTGTTCGGAACACTGAGAGGTAGAAGAAATAAATTATAACAGAGACTGAGGTACTTCTTTATCAAAGAGGTGGCATTTGAGCTGAAGACTTGAAAAATGAATAGAATTTGAATAGGACAGTAAACGTAGAGGAAATAGTGGATGTGAAGATACAAACATGAAAAAAGACAGATTTATGCAAATTTGGTTGGAATATAGAATTTACAAGTGCAAGCTGGAGGAGGACAACATAAAAAGTATTTGGGGACCAGATAACCTTATATTTTATATCAGTAACACAAGTTCAGTAATCTCTTTCTACGGAAACTTTTAAAATCAACATTTGTTCAAGCTTGAGATCCTAGTAAAAAAAAATAAAATCGACATATGGTAATTCACCTAAACTAAGACTTTTCTGTGGAAATGGATATGTGAATAGGCAAATGATGACTTTACTACTCTTCTTTTCTCGGTAAATATTTAAACACAGGGAAAAGTACCAAGAATAATAAAAACACCTGGATATATCCATCACTCAATTTTTACTAATTGTAATGCTTTTTCATGTTTGCTTTCAGTCTTATTTTTTTAAAAACTTTCCCACTGAAACCTTTTATTCTGTTTTTGTTGATGCTTAAGGAAAACAGCTTTGCCCATAACTTACTGTGGCCTGGACTGAAGACACCAACTTGTAGTTGGCCAATTAGGAAAGAGGCCAAACTGCATTCTTCTTAGGCATTCAGTTGATAAATAGCACTTGACTGATGATTTTTTTCATATAATCTTTAACAAGAACTCATAAGTCACATTGATTATGCCCCAAGAGATGAGGGACCAATGGTAATTCAGATGGGCACCCCTGAAAAGATCTGTCACTTTCCTGTCCGGTTCTAGCCAGATTTTTTTTAAAACCTTAGGGAAAGACTGAAATTCCCCACCAATCTGAGACTGTATGCGAGTTTTTACATTAACTGGAAAAAACAAGAATCCCAACATGGCATCCAAAAGACCTCCACAGATAAAATCGTTGATCAAATTAGCACTGTGAGACGTTGCAGAAGGCAAATGCTCCTTAATGGGACCTCGAAGGCCAAAAAAAAGAGACATTGCTGAGTCCATTGCGGAAAAGAATGGGCACCAAGCCTCGATAATACTCTCTAATTCATGGCATTTTAAGGCCTTGAAAGCTTGATAAGTGCTTGTAAATTTGTCATGATGCTTGTGGTCTTGAAGCAATGTCTGAACTCTTTCTAATGGAGTGAAAATTGTTTCTGTTGTCCCTGCCAGTACTGCTGCCACGCTGCGGGTTGCAAGCTCCGGAGCACTGACATGTTTGCGGAGAAGGCAGGATAAATCCTCATACAGATCAAACATAAGTGCCAGTGTGGTTGTTTTTTGCATTAACGGGGGAAGCATTAAGTTTTGATAAGATATAAGTTTTGAAATCCATCCCTCCTCAACTGAAGTATCGCATCCCGGGTTTTGATGCCATATAGCTGTTTGTTAGAGGCAAGGACCCTCAAAGACCCTCAACTCCCCTATGACTCGTCCTACACACGGACTTCGCCCTGGAAAATTCCAGCTATAGCTCCGAGAAGAATGCAGTCCATGACGTGCTGACCACGGGATGCTCCAGGGTATGCTGACTGCAATTGTTCCCGACCACCTGCCAGGTTGGAGATGAGTAACCAGTCAAAAACAGGATACCGATAAGACGCTGATTGGGGCTGATTAACCCAGACCCAAGCCTCATCGTCGCCACTCTATTTTTTTTGTTTCTACTTCCTTGTTTCTGTATGCTTATAAAACCTACTGAGAATCTAAGTAAAGCAGACCTTGACAACCATTTGCTTGGTCTCGTTTCTTTCTCTCGCTCATCTCTTTCAGGCACGGTCCCCCTCACCCCCGCGAGTAACAGAAGGTCCCGCGGGCCGGGACAGTTGTTGCGAAAAAGGACCTTCTGAACAGGAAATGTGATTGTTACATTGTTGAAAGCTGCACAGCAGCCACACAGTAATGCTTCATTTTACCAAAATTTGTAATGTGAGATGATACATCTTGTTTTGAAGATTTTAGAATTGGTGGCCTCTTTTCATGAGCTTCTGAATCCACCATGTTGCTTAAGATTTTTATTCTTCATGAATAATTGTTTTTAACCTTCATGAATAATTGTTTTAACTTACCATCTGAGCTTGGTGTTTTGCCAGATGACAGCTTTTTGATAACTTTCCCAATTTTTCCCATTGTTATTGGTCTGTTAGGTTCTCTCTTCTGGAGTCAATATTGATAATTAGATTTCCGTTCTCCAGGCGTCCATTTCCCCAACCCATCGCCCCGGGCGTCCTGCAAGACTGCAAGCGAGCGAGCCCGCAAGCCGGCGCCCGCGCAGGCCTCAGTCTTATTTTTAAGTAATCTGTTTCCAATATTCTACTGTTATAAGGAAGGCTGCAATAACATCCTAATGATAATGAGACAATATTTATTGAGTGCTTACTTGTGCCAAGCACAAGTGTAACTGCCATATGTGAATTAATTAATTTAATCGTCGCCACAACAACATGCTGAAAGAACTATATTAATCTTCATTTAACAGATGAATAACTAATGTATAGAAAACTTACATAACTTTCCTGAGATCAAAGGACCATGAAATGGTGGGGCTAGGATTTGAATGCAGACATTCTGGCACTTTTTTAAACCTTTTACTATATTTGCTTTTTTCTACATGTCTCCTTGGGGCTTGTGAGAATTTCTCTAGGGCAGGAGTTCTCGGAACTCTGAGGTGAATCAGAATCAAACCCCTCCTCAACCTTAGGTTTTTTTATTTTTTGAGACAAAGTCTCGCTTTGTGCCCAGGCTAGAGTGAGTACCATGTCATCAGCCTAGCTCACAGCAACCTGGGCTCAAGCAATCCTGCTGCCGCAGGCTCCCAAGTAGCTGGGACTACAGGCATGCGCCACCATGCCCAGCTAATTTTTTCTGTATGAATTAGTTGGCCAATTAATTTCTTTCTATTTATAGTAGAGACGGGTCTCGCTCTTGCTCAGGCTGGTTTTGAACTCCTGATCTTGAGCAATCCTCCCGCCTCTGTTGGAGACTAAGACCCTCCACATCCCAACGACTTGTCCTACGCACAGGCCTCGCCCCGGAAAATAGCCTAAGACGAAAATAGCACCCAGCCCCCCAGCTATAGTTCCAAGAAGAATGCATTCCATGACATGCTTGCTCCAGGGCATGCTACCTGCAATTGTTCCTGACCCCCTGCCAGGTTGGGGTTGAGTGATCCATCACAAACAGCTTCCGGTGCCACTGGGATGCTGATTGGGGCTGATTAGCCCACACCCAAGCCTCATCATCCCCCCACTCTATTTTTCTGTTTCTACTTCCTTGTTTCTGTATATAAAACCTACTAAAAATCCAAGTAAAGTAGACCTTGACAACCATTTGCTTGGTCTCGTTCCTTTCTCTCGCCCATCTCTTTCAGGCAAGGTCCCCCTTGACCCCTGCGAGTAACAGAAGGTCCCGCGGGCCGGGACAAGTGGCGCCCAACGTGGGGCTCGAGGTATGGACCTTTGTCGGAT